ATAGCAAAGGGATATTTTCTATGTATAATTAAACTAAAATTTAAGAGCTGACACTGTAGCTTAGTAGTTAAAGAAGCCAGATCCCACTACTAGGCCAAATGTGGTTCTAATTCCTGGCCCCGGTGACTTGAAAAAACATGCTGGGCACATGTGCATGTGGGCCCCAAATCCTGACAGGATAGAGAAATGGAGGCGAAGGGATTGTGGCATGACCTCACTCCACTGGGGACATTCTCTCTCTCTCTCTCACTTTCTCTCTCTCTCTCTTGCTCTCTCTTTCTCTGAATCAGGCATCAACAGTTTTGTGCTTAGATATCTCTACTTCATAGTAAGTTTCTGTCCTGTTAGTCCTTTTTCTCACAGGTCCAGCAAAGTTACCCAATGTCTGCATCACACAAATGTAGCCTGAGTATACAGAATTCTACTATTCTAAAATATTGTAATTTGCATATTTGTGGTCATAAATATACACTGATCTCAAGCTAGTGAATTAGTAAACAACATAAAAGTTGATTCTTGAAAATGCTGAATAATAGGAGACTTCTGGAGATGAAAGAAAGGAATTAAAATCAGTATTGTAGGACTGGCCCTGTAGCACAGTGGTTAAGTACTGCATATGGGAAACCAGATCCCACATGGCCAAATGAAGTTTGAATCCCAGCCCCAGCAGCTTAAAAAGCACATGGGCAGGTGTGCATGTGTGCCCCAAATCCTGACAAGATGGAGAAATGGAGGGCAAAGGATCGCAGCATGACCACACCATATGAGAAGTGCTTTCTTTCTCTCTCTTAGGTGAGTGCATATGCCCTCTAGCAAAAAATTTATTCAGCATTTTTTTTCTTTTCTCTTCTTCTTCTCCTTTTTTTTTTTTTTAAGAGAGATTTTTGCTATATAGCACATGTGCTCGCTAGAGAGAGACAGAGAGACAGAAAGTGAGAAATCATCTCCCAGGGGAGATGGCCACACTGCAATCCCTTCTCCTCCATTCTCCTCTCAGTATCTTGGACACACAAGCATATGTACCTAGCGTGCATTTTAAACTCCCAGATCTAGGACTTGAACCACAGTCGACTATGTTGAAGTCTAGTGACGTAACTATTAGGCCATTTGCTGGTCCCATGTTTTTTTGTTTTAAAGGGTATTAAAATAATGGGCTGACTCTAATAGTCTAGAAATATAATAAGACAAATTTAATAGGGAGAAATCTTACATCCTGTGTTTAAGTTTTAAAAGCTCAGTATTGACTTAGAGAAGCAAGTGTAATATAGCACTAATTAATTTTTTAAAAACACGTATATCACTAGTGCTCCCATTAGGTCTCAGGTTTTCAAATCATGCTGAAGTGAGCTGTTGGAATAGTTTGAAAGTATCACAGTTACTGACAGCCTATTACTACCAAAACCAAACAAGAACTGTAGGCTATTTTATTTCTAGAAAGTAGTGTAGAAAACCGGGGAGGTAAGCAGTCTGTTGTGCTTTTTGCTGGCTACATTATACCCTGAAGGAGGATGGTGATGGTGGTGATTTATGATCACCACACTTTCAGCTAATGACTAAGCTAATTGCAGGGTGATGCAATTTAACATCATGTCATGGGGAACAATTAAAGAGACTATGGGAGTATTTGATCTAAAATGAGCAGAAGGGAATGAGAGAGAGACTGTTTTGCTTTAACAAGGTTTTTTTTTGGGTTGGAAGTGACTAAAGCCTACTTCAATTGATAAGAATGTATCTCTAAACTGATAAGAATCTCTCTAAAAACAGAAAGTGTGGGTAGGCCTTTCAAAGGACTAAACCAAAAACTTGAATGTTATTAGCAGTCAGAATGGCTTTTTCCTTCCTTAATCCAGTGTTCATCTCCTTATGACCATGTATGTGGCCTGATGTGGCCTCTCCAGTCCCAGCTTTGCATCATCCCCTAGTTCAGATTCCTGACAGAGACTGACAAATCTCTTATCAATTTCAAAATCTTAGAAGAGAATCTGATTTTTGGGAACCAGCAATTAGCGTAATGGCTTTGTCGCTGGACTCCCACGTAGTCGACCGTGGTTCGTGTCCCGGACCCGGTGGTTTAAAACTCACACCGGGCGCGTGTGCGTGCGTGCCCAAGATCCCAAGAGGAGAATGGAGGAGAAGGGATTGCGGCATGACCATCCCCCCTGGGGGGTGATTTCTCGCTTTCTGTCTCTATGTCTCTTTCTGTCTGTCTGGCGAGCACACGCACCCTATAGCGAAAACCTCTCCAAAAAAAAAAAAAAAAAAAAAAAGAAGAGAATCTGACTTTTGACAGAAACTGGATGAATATGGAAGATTGCTGAGTGAAGCAAACCAGGCTATCAAGGAGAGACATTGTATGTCTCCACTTAATATATACCAAGTGTCCATACTCTGTGGTCCAAACTGAATGACTTAGAGGATATAGAAACATAGAAAATTGTTATAAATACGAAGTACCGTGTGGGAAGAGGGTGAGTGAAGGAGGAGAATCTGAGGAAAGACATTAAGGAGAAAAATATAAAAGGCATTTATGGGACAAAGAAAAGGGATATTATCTGTTGGAGGTTAGTATCCTCAACTGGTGAGAAATGTATACATGTTGGAATAATCACTTTATAAGCTAAATGGTATATGTGATTGAACGTATAAAAGAAAATGAAATTTTAAAAAATGAGAAAAAGAATCTGACTAGCTAGTCTATTTTCTACCCTGTTCCAATTATTTGTAGCCAGGGGAAAGAAGTTAGATCATATAATTAAAAGCTGTAGTGGGACCAGCAGATGGCATAATAGCTACATCACTGGACTCCCATGTGGTCAACTGTAGTTTGAGTCCCGGACCCGGTGGCTTAAACTCATACCGGGGGCATGTGCGTGCATGCCCAAGATCCTAAGAGGAGAATGGAAAAGGGATTGTGGTGTGGCCAACCCCCAAGGGGTGATTTCTCTCTTTCTCTCTGTCTCTCTTTGTCTTTCTAGCAAGTGCACATGCCCAATAGCAAAAAACCTCTCCCCCTTGCAAAAAAAAACCAAAAAAAACAAAAACAAAAAAACACCTTAGCTGTAGGAACACAGGAGGGGAAATCAAAGGAACTACAGGGTGGTCAACCAAGTAGGGCAGACATTTTAAGCTGCCTAGTGCAGATACCATGGAAAATTAGAATGACTCTGTTGAAGAGAAATATTTGAGGAGGGAGGTGTCTTAAAAAACAGGCTGCTGGGACTCAGACTTCAATATAAGAAATCACCTATTAGGAGGTTTAAGTGTTAGATAAAAGGTTACTTAGTTGACCTACAAAGTTCCTTCTAAGCTAGAAAGCTTTGAAGCTTCATGTACAAAGCAAGCTTTACACAGTTCATGGAAAATGCTTATTACGAAAAAAACTGTATGAATTTCAGATTTTTCTTGCACCCAAATATACTTGTACCTTACTTTTTTTTTAATGAATTATGTGAAATCACCTCATATTAACTCTTCTGGAATAACAAACCACTCAAAAGTTTAGGGTTTAAAACAATAATCATTTATTTAGCTCTTGTTTCTGTGGTTTAGTGGTTTGGGCATAGATTAGCAGAGTAATTTTCCAAACTCATCTGTATGTGTGTTGTCAGCTGCTGGTTGGTTGGAGACTGACTGATCTAGGATGGCTTCTCGTAGACAAACCTGTCTGTGTAGCCTTTATCACATGACTTCACATGGCAACTGGGCAAGTTCTAAGAGAAAGGTTTCATACTCTCAAGACTCTTGAGGTCAGACTCAGGACTGACATGTCACTCCCGCTGAATTCTTTGGTCAAAGTGAGTCCCAAGGTCACCTAATTTAAAGGGTCTGGAAATAGACTGTCAGAACCAGCCCTTAGCATAATGGCTATATCACTGAACTCCCATGTAGTCAACCGCGGTTTGTGTCCCGGACCCGGTGGCTTAAACTTACACTGGGTACATGTGCGTGCGTGCCCAAGATCCCGAGAGGAGAATGGAGGAGAAGGGATTGTGGTGTGGCCATCTCCCCTGGGGGGTGATTTGTCTCTTGTTAGCTCTCTGTCTTTCTGGAGAGTGCATGCGCCCTATAGCAAAAACCTGTCCAAAAAAGAAGAAAGAAATAGACTCTGTCCTTTGGTCAGAGGAGCATCCAAGTTACCCTGTAAAGAGGGGAAATATAGGGAGAAGAATTCCTGCCACTTTTTTTATACATAATTTACCTCACCAGTCATATAATTTTTTAAAAAGAAGTATTTATGATTTTATTTATTGCTGTTATTTTTAAATTTGCCACAGGGCATATACAGTCACCAGAGAGACAAAGAGAAGTAAGAAAACAAGCTGCCAAGTCTGGGACTTAAACAGTGGTCAGTCATGTGGGAGTCCAGTGTCTTAACACCATGCCACCTGCTGGCCCCAGCATACAATTTTTAATAAGTCACACATCAGCTTTTTTTTTTTTTTACTTGTTTATTTATTTTAATTTGACCAGAGAGGAACAGAGCAAGAGAGAAAGAGGGAAAGTGAAAAAGCATGCTACCAAGTCCAGGACTGGACCTATGGTTGACCATGTGGGAGTCCAGTGCCCTTAACCACCGTGCCACCCGCTGGCCCCAGAAGTAGCATTTTTTTAAAAGATGTTTTTGTTTGCACTTTATGGATTGAGAAACCACAGCTTGCACTACAAGTTGACTACTTCTTTAATTTGGACAGTGACTTCAATAACTAAAAAACAGATTTTGTTCTTATACTGAATTATTTGTTGAGGTGTAGGGGGTACTGTTAAGTAAAATGGTTACTTGTTTGTTTCAAAATAAAGTAAGCATCCAATATTGGTCTACTGAATTTGTCCAAAAGGTGGGATGAGGAGGAGGGCGGAGTGGGGCTGAAAAGAAAAAAATAATAAAAAATTATGTCAGGATTAAATTAATATAAATGCAAATATTGTGGTGTTCTTTTTGCTTAAAAAAGTTGTTTCATATTATTTGGACTTTTAAGTTTTAACAGCTGCCGTATTTCTAGGAGCTCTGCCAGTGCCGGCCCGGAGAAGGAAACTGCTCCTGCTGCAAGGAGTGTATGCTGTGTCTCGGGGCCCTGTGGGATGAGTGCTGCGACTGTGTGGGTAGGTTGACTCGCGGGACGTTTCTGAGTATTTCTTATCAGAAATCCTTGACTTCAAGAGACCTTAAAGGATATACATGTATTTGTGTATATAAATGAGTATGTGTTTAAGAATCTTACATTATTAATTTGCTTGAATAGTATGTATAAATATGTGTGCTTATATTTTTATAAACAAAGGTCTGGGAGGAAATTTAAAGTGCTTATCCTTGGGAAGTAGGGGGGGATCCAAAGAGGAATAGTTTACTTTTTATTTATAAAAGTTATACTGTTGAGTTTTTTCTAAGAAGAATGTTTTATTTTTGTTTCTTTAATAAAAAGCATGTTTCCTAAGAAACATCTGACAGTCTCCAAAATGTGTTTAGAAAAAAAAAAAGGCACAAAATGTGGTTATATAGGATGCTACCATTTGTGTTTTTGAAAGAAAACTTAAAGAATAGAAATGCTGGTGGAAACATCCATTATCTTGTCTCTGACCAGTTAATTCTTTTTAATCTTGTAAAACTCCAGTTCAAGTATCCTCTTTTCTCAGAAACCTTTGTTTGTCTGAGACAGGATTCTCTGTGCTTCTCTTGGGTCATTTATTGAATATTACTATAACTGTTGTTTTGCTTGTCCCTCTAATAGAGTATAAACTCCTTAAAACAGAAATATTGTCTTAATTAGTTTTTATTTTAAATATTTATTTATTTTATTTGTTATTATCATTTATTTTTCATTTTGACCAGAGAGAGAGAGAGAAAAGGAAAGTGAGAAAGCAAGCTGCTGGGTCCAGGACTCACACTGCAATTGGCCATGTGGAAGTCCAGCGCCCCAACCACCACACCACACTGCCTGCCAGCCCCTATTAATTCTGATTTTTATTGAAGTGAGATAGATATATATACTTGTCTTAAAACAATCCTATCTCATTTTTTTCCCAATCCATTGATCCTGTGCCTCAGAGACCAATACATTTTTTTTAAGGGAGAGATTTTTGCTATATGGCACATGCGCTTGCCAGATAATAGAAACACAGAGAGAGAAAATGAGAAGTTATCCTCCAGGGGGATGGCCATGCTGCAGTCTTCTCTTCTTGCGGTTTTGGGCATGCACACACATGCACCTGGTGTGATTTTCAAGCTGGTGGGTCCAGGACCACAGTCAGCCACATGGGAGTCCAGCACCTTAACCGCTATGCCATGTACTGACCCCAAGACCAATACTTTCATCTCTTCACTGTTAAATAGTACTGCTTCTAAAGTTGTAAATAATATCCTTATGCTACTGTCTAGATTCTTTGATTTTAGAAACTTAACTTCCTGTTAATAAATATTGATCTAATTCTCTTATCTTCTCTTCATAATATGGTTTTATTAGTACTTCTAGTTAAATCAACATTTACTTTTTTTTTTTTAATTGACAGATGTATGTTTGTTCAGAGACAAAGAGACAGAGAGAGGGAGAAAGTAGCCCACAACGGGATGTGTTCACACCACAGTCCCTTCTCCATTTTTTCATCCTGCCAGGATTTGGGGCATGACATACAAACAGTTGGCTTTTCAAGTTGCTGGGGCCAGGATTTGAACCATAGTTGGCCATGTGGGATCTGGCTCCCTTAACAAATAGGCTATGGAGTTAGCCTAGTATTTACTTTTAATCAATTTAATAAAATGACATAGTATACTAGTTTGATGCATAATGATATAAGCACTAATTTATTAAATAGATTATCCTATTATCCATCTTTTAGTATTTTGGGTCTATTTTTGAGAGATTTCCTAATCTTTTACTCCTTGTGTTAATTTTTTAAATTTTTACTTCCTTTCTTAAATTCTTTTTTTTTTTGGAGAGGTTTTTGCTATAGGGCACGTGCACTCGCCAGAGAGACAGAGAGACAGAAAGTGAGAAATCACCCCCTAGAGAGGATGGCCACGCCACAATCCCTTCTCCTCCATTCTCCTCTCAGAATCTTGGGCACGCACGCACATGCACCTGGCGTGAGTTCAAGCCACCGGGTGTGGGACTCAAACCCCGGTCAACCACATGGCAGTCCAGCGACATAGCCATTACGCTAACTGCTGGTACCTACCTTTCTTAAATTCTAAGATCTCTTCTCTGATTGTCCTTTTTCAGAGAATATAACTGTCCTTGGTTTATGAGTAAGATATTTTTCTTATCTTTCTGGGACTGTTAATTACAGCGTTTCATTGTTGCTGTTCGGTTTTTCCTTCTACTCCTTGTCCTGTTTCTGTTTTCTCAAATGACCAGTGACCCTCAGACATCTATTCCTATGTAGAATTTAAGTATTCCAGAGCTGACTGGGAGCCCTGTGTGTGTGTGCACAGGGTGTGGAATCTAGTTCACCTCAGTAAAAGATGGTCGGAGGATAAGGTGCCTTTCTCATTGAGGAGTCTTCTGTTTTCATGTCTAAAGATTGTTCCCTTTGGATTTGTGTAGCTTTCTCAGAAAAGGATCTTCCAGCTTCCTGCCTCAGATGGGGACATTGGGGATGGTTGTATGCTTGGCTGCAAGTGATCTGGGATCTTGAGGGGCAATGTCAAAATATTCAGTAAGCAAGATTTACATTTTTCCTTTTCCTTTTTTTCCATCTTCATCTCCACCCTCTGTAATTTTTGGCACTCTCAGTCCAGGGCCTCTTAGGTGTAACTTCTCTAGAGAATAACCCTCTCATCTCCTGATGCAAGTTGTGGAAGAGGAGAGACAGGACCTAATGGTGTAACTACCCATGGCTGCCATATCAGCCTGGGAGGGAGACTATGCTTTCACCCTTAGGCTATTCAGAGATGGAATTGGTGATACAGTTTCTTGTTTTTCTTTATTATTTTGTGGCAAATTCTGAGAGAATATGAACAGAAGTCTTTTCTTCTCTCTTCCTATATTCATCTTGATATCTCTAACAGATATGGTAATGTCTGGCATATAGAAGGTATGCAGATATTTTATGACTGTCAAACAAATGATTTTAGGCATTATTCTACCAAGATGGATGGTTTTTTCTATGCTCCTGATGGCTATAACTTTTTATTATATCAGCCGAAATAAAAGAAGCTTTGAATTGTTTTAGAACATTAAATATAAATTAATTTATGAAATGAAAGTAAAAAAGAAAAAATAGCCATATTAATCCCTAATATATACATACAAGCACTTAATTTAAACACAGATACCAAAATTTTCAAATGCACTTTGCCTAAGATAATGTGTATGTATGTGTGAGTGTGTTATATGTGTTTGGTGTGTGTGTGTGTGTGGTTTAACCATCACACCGTGATAACAGTTTCATTTAGCTGTTTCTTCCAGTGAGAAAGAGTAATTATACATATTCATATCTCTGCAGATTTAGAAGGAGCTGTTATGCTTCTGGGTTAGTTCCCATTAAAAAAAAAAAGTTGTTTATTTTTAAGAATTTAGTGGCCAATTTTAAACTTCAAATGAGTTCACAATGTAACTTTATCTTCCACTTCAAATTCAGTTAATCTTTCTATTTCCTAGGGTAAAATTTAGATATTCTAGTTCTGTCTACCCAGCAGTATTCCTGCTTGTAGGCAGCTCTTTTCCAAATTAGGTTCTCTTAGTGTCCTTTGTGAACCTGTGGCTACTCCTCCCTTCTAAGTCGAAACAGTTCCCATACTTTTCCTGGGTGGGGTACCAGCTTCTGAGAGGATCCAAATTAGAGTACAGCCTTCCTTTCCTGTCTCGCTTCGTGGATTTCAGCACATACTTACCTAGCAAGCTCTACTCCCACTTCCTTCATGTAAGAGAATTAATTTTTCTTTTCTGACTTTCTTTTAAGGTAAGTAACACCATAGTTCATTTTCATCTTTGTTGTCCATTATATTAACCAAATCCTATCATTTTGGACCTTAAGGCTCTACCCACCAATTTAATTTTTGTAATTAATTAATTAATTAATTTCTTCCATGAGTGAGAGACAGAAACAAAGAGAAGGACACTCCCAACAGGGTCCCCATGCTGTGATCCTCCCACAGCCTTAGCCAGCCTCGGATCATGATCACACACCTGGTGTATCCAGCTTGGCTCTGGGTGTAAACCTAGAACCTTCCTTTGTGGATCAGCCTCAGGAAGTGTTGGGTTACCACCATATCACCGTTCAGCCCCTTTCAGTTTTTGTGTGTCCAAATGTACACAAAAATCCAGTACAATGAGTTGCTGAGTACGTACTACTGTGCTTCAGCAACCACTGATCTGTTGTCATACACGTTTCATCTGTTTATCTGTCTGTCTCTGTCAGTTTATCCTCCCCAGCCTTTTTGTTTTTCTAAGATACTATTTTAAAAATTGTATCACTATATCTCCAAAGTACTTTATGCATCTCAAAAAAGAATACATCTTCTTACATACCATGGTGTCATCACCATGCCTGAAACGCCTCTTTAATTTATTACTCACCCAGTCAGACTTCACTGGGATTTAATACCCACTCAGATTTCACTCTCTACATGTTTTTTCTAGTTGTTTATCTCAAATCAAGATCCAACAAAGTCCACTTACTATATTTGGTTGTTAGATTTCTTAAGTTTCTTTTATTCTTGAACAATTCTTCCTCCCCCCAGCTTTAAATATTCCATTGACTTTTTTTCTTTTTTTTTATTAGAGGTTTTTTGCTATAGGGCATGTGCGCTCGCCAGACAGAGAGAGACAGAGAGATAGAAAGCGAGAAATCACCCCCCAGGGAGGATGGCCACGCCTCAATCCCCTCTCCTCCATTCTCCTCTCGGGATCTTGGGCACGCACACACATGCGCCCGGCGAGAGTTTAAGCTACCGGGTCCGGGATGCGAACCGCGGTCGACTATGTGGGAGTCCAGTGACATAGCCATTACGCTAACTGCTGGTTCCCCATTGACTTTTTGAAGAAACCAGTCAGTTATGATGGAAAATAAACCACATTCTGAATTTGGCCAATTGCTTCCTATCATTCACCTATGACTGGAAGTTAGATCTAAAGGTTTTGTAAGATTCAGACAGAATTTTAGGG